CCAAACAGACTAACTTTTTTTTACACATTTTAGAAATACAGACATATGTGGTAAAGCTATTAAGAAAAATAAAAGTGTGATTAACCTATATTCATAATAGTCATTTTCTCTGGGAGATAGGGAGGGACTCTAAGGGCTTAAACTTACTAGTATTAGTCTATTTCTGAAGCCATACCTTAATTTTAAAATAAAATGTTCTACCACAGAAGATCCTGAATTTCCCATTACAGAAGTCTGTTTCGCTTTACGAAATAACTCATTTAGATGAGCTAGTTTGAGAAATACAAATATTATGTGAGGAACTGGATTTGACTATGCCTGGTGTGGCACTGTAGAATAAGCATCGACAGCTAACCACATGGTCAGTGGTTCAAACCCACCAGCCACTCCTCAGAAACCCTATGCAGTTTTGCTGTGACGCAAGACTCAATGGCATTTAGCAACAAGAAGTATGTTTTAACTCTAAGATTTGATCATTCCTAAATTACCATAATAAGCAGGACAATTGTTGTTTAGTACCATTGAGTCAGTTCTGATTCATTTTCTTGTTGCTGTTGTTAAGTGCCGTCGAGTCGGTTCCGACCCATAGCGACCCTGTATAGGGTTTCTGAGGAGCAGCTGGTGAGCTTGAACTACTGACCTTGTAGTTCAAACGGCTTTGCAGTCTGGTGCATTAACTCACAGAGCCACACCAGGACACCTTGATTCATAGCGACCCCTTATATTGTGTCTGAGGAGTGACAGATGAGTTTGAACTGTCAATCGACATTCAAACCGACCTTTGTGTCAAGTGCTTATCTTACAGCTCCACATCAGGACTCCAATAGGACAATGGATAGCACATAAAAAACAAACAAACAATTATTATTGTTGTTGTTTATATCCCATAGAGTCAGTTCTGACTCATAATGAGGCTATTACACCAACCATTAATTGAATATTTATTTGTACTAGCAGATCCCAATTTTGTTCTACAGTCTAGTTTTCCCTCAAGAATTCAGGAGATTTTCTAGCTAGTGGGACTTATTATATTAAGACTAAAATAATCCTGTGGTCCATTGGTGTACATATAAACATGTGGTCCTATCTTGAGATGTCTAGAAGATGTTTCTTTGGAGTGTGCTTAGATGTGATGTCTAGGATGGCTGCTGCCATGAGGCCACCATAAAAAGGACAGCCTCAGAAGAAAAGCTACTGATCCATGATGGCAGCACTGAGACGATGAATTCATTAAAGTTGGAGCCTTACTTCTTGACTCACTGATAAATAATACATCACCTTAGTGTTTATATTTTCATATTATTTATATGTTCTTACTGAACAAGAAGCCATACCAACTAAAACATTTGCCATGTGCACAGAATTACTGATTTATCACCACAACAACCCTATGAGCTAAGTAGTATTAACAGTATTTACTTTGGGGTCCTGGTATGACTCTGCAGGTTAATATGCTGGACTGCAAGGCCAGTTTGGACCACAGGTTCAGTGGTTGAAGCTCACCAACTGCTCCTCAAAAACCCTATTCAGAGTCGCTATGAGTCAAAACCGACTTGAAGACACTTAACAACAACAACTACAACTTCATAGATGATATAAATAAAATCTAGGGGGAAAAAATCAGTTGCCCAAAGTCACACAACTAATTACTGGCAAATTCTGGAGTGTTTTTAACCAATCCATGTTTTTAACCAACTATGCATTGTAATCTCAATGCTACATACTATTAACTAGCAATGAGCACTAATTACATTCCAAGCCCTTACATTCCTCTGTATGGAAGAAGCTGCTTTCTCAAATTTCTTGGGAGCTGAAATTCTAATTGAATTCAGGTTCTGCCAATGAGTTTAACCTATGTCAAATTTGGAAGACAGAAGACAAGTGAAGATCATCTTCCTGAGGCTGTGCATGCTGAAATGAAAACCTCAGCAGATATGAGTACCCCCAGTGGTTTTCATGTTCTACAATCTAGTCACATGCTCTGAGGGTGTGAGTCAGTGATGGCGGCAGCATCTGTGGTAATAGTGTAAGCAATTACTTGACCTTGGAATTGCATCTCTGATTGACCTTGAAATCAAGTCTAGTGGTAGTTCCAAACTCTACTTCTCCACAGCATTCCCTGTATTAAACCTCTTCTTGTATTTGTTGTTGTTGTTAAGTGCCGTCGAGTCGGTTCCGACCCATAGCAACCCTGTACAGGGATTCCGAGGCTGTAAATCTTTATGGGAGCAGAAAGCCTCATCTTTCTCCCACGGAATGGCTGGTAGTTTCAAACTGCTGACTTTAAGGTTCACAGCCTGATCCGTAACCACTATGCTACTCCATTTAATTTATTGAAATTTAACTCCTTGTATGAAATCACTTCCTACTTGATGTATTTATAATGGCTTCAATAGTAATTGCTTGAAGTAATAAAATCTGAACTCAACAAATAAATACATGAATGATTAGACTACCGTTTTACTGTGTGTATGTGATTAAAGTACACATAATAAAACATTTACTACTTCAATCCTTTTATGTATATAATTCCATGACATACATTATGTTCACCATGTTGAGCAAACATCAACAATTTCATCTCAAACTACCTGTACTTTTTGTATTAGGATATACAAGCAAAGTACTTATTCATCTTTCTGACATAAATACAGTTTATTAAATTTCTAAGAGGATGACATGCTATAACCTCTTTCTCCCACCTTCTCCCCCCAGAGATTAGAAAGTGAAACTACAAACTAGAGATTTCTATCCTTCATGAAACATATCACCTATATTTTTAAGTCAGGTGAATTTTTACAGTAAGTATAATGCATCACCCCTAAAGCTTAGTACTGTTTTCTATTTGTTCAAAAATAGAATGAAATTTTCTGAAAGGGGCAGCAACTTTTATTTACTTTCTAGAATATATGTAGAATATATATTTTTAAAATGTAGCAGTACTCTAGCCTGTGAACACATGTATCAATATCTTCACATATCAGGTCGGAAGAACCTGAAACAATAAGGCTGGAATTCAAATCTCAGCTGAGTTACAAAGAGAGCTGGCTGGCATTAGTCAGTCTCTTGGGTTCTCTGATTTCAGTTTATTCTTAGAAATGTGATGTTTATCTCCAAACTTAATTTTAACTGTTTTTAATACCATATGTGAAAAGGTCTAAGAAATGATATGTTGTTGTTATTGTTTTTAAGTGCCATTGAATCAGTTTTGACTCACAGTAGTTCTTTACAGGGTTTCCAAGGAGAAGCTGGTAGATTTGAACCACCGACCTTAAGGTTAGTAGTCCAGTGCTTATCCTACAGTACCACACCAGGACTCTAAGACCTGGTATAGTCATTGCTCTAAGACCGAGTATAGTAAATAAAATACACATTTTGTTTATTTTAACTACAAACAAATAAAAGTTAAGTTTTCTCTCATTTCCTAAGTATGGTGGTGGTGGTGATTGTGTGCAGCTGAATTGGTTTCAACTCATACCAAGCCTGTATAGGGTTCTGAGGCTATAAATCTTTATGGGAACAGAAACCCTCACCTTTTTCCTGTGGAGTAACTGGTAGATTTGAACTGCTGACCTTTCAGTTAGTAGCCCAGCTCATAATCCACTATGCTACCAATGTTCCTTCCTAAGTATGTTATGGAAGAATTATATTCCTTACCACCTCCAACTCCCCCAAAAAACTGCTCATAAAAAATTTGCATGGAGCAGAAATTCTACATTCTATTCCCTTACATTATAAAATGACAGAAAAATTTCCTATAAGATTGTCAAAACTTGTATGCAGCTAAGTGATAATTCGTTTTCAGCAGGAAGCAGGAAGGAGCCCACTAGTTAAACCCCTTATGGAACTTTTCAGTACTTTGACCTCTCAATGACCTGCTCTGATATCACTCAATACTCTGACATCACTCAATACTCTGACATCACTCAATAAACTAGAATATTTAAGATATTCCAACAAACACAAAAATTGGGGTAGTTCATGTCCCTACAGATTTAAAGTAAATTAAACACTTGTGGTTGTTAGGTGCCATCAAGTTGGTTCCAACTCATATAGATTGTGTATAGAGTTTCTGAGGAGCAGCTGGTGGGTTTAAATGGTAGATCTTGACGTAAGCAGTCCAATGCTGATCCTACAGCATCACACCAGTCATTAAAGCACTCTCTGTATTATCTTTTGTGATTCTGGCACTGATCCACTTATTTCAACATGGCCATTAGAATACTGCTTAAAAAGAAAACAATCAACATGTATATTTAGTGAAATGTGTCTGCAGGAACTAATTAATCCACAAATAAAAAAATACCATATGTGAAAATGACACACAGTCATTACTTTACCATTATTTAGATCAAGCATAAGTTTTGTTATTTTCATGTTAGCATATTGCTGTTCCATTTTAAAATATATATTATTTAAGAGTATACAATGGTTGTGGTGGTGGTGTTTTTTTGAGTCAGTTCCAGCTCACAGCAACCCTCTATAGGATTTCCACGGTGAAAAACCTTTACAGGAGCAGAAAGTCTCATCTTTCTCTTGAGGAACAGAAGTTAGATTCGAACTACCGACCTGGCGGTTAGTAGCCCAACTCATAACTCACTATGCTACCAGAGCTACTTAAAAATTTATTTTCAGGTTGGCAATAAGTAGCCACAGTGAATGCTGACAACTAAAATCCACCTCTTTTCACAAATCTCAGCTTTAGATTCCTTCCTTTTTGCCTCCTTGCAACTCTTGCCATTCTCCTTATGCCTCGATATAAAAATGCATAGTGGAAAGGAGAAGTTAAAAAACGAGACAATAAGAAGTAGTAGCAATCAACAAGAATTTCCCCAAGTATAGATTTATGGAGTTAACTGACTAGACAAATGAAAATTTTATGCATGCTTGCTCAAAATAAAAGTTTTTCTTTATAAATAAATTTTACTACCAGTCATATAGTTACATATATGGTTCAAAATGTAGTTTGGATTCTTTCAAAGAAAATCTGGAAAACCAACCTCGATTGGCTCTTCACCACCTTTTACTTGATTCTCTCCCATTTCTTCATTCTCATAACTGCTGCTCTTCTCAACCCACAGTTCAGATTTTTCTACAGTCAGTCGAAGCTGGTCTAGATCTGCCTTGATTTGTTTGTAGTTATCTACATCTTGATTGGACACCAGTAACTGTACCTGAAAACAGAAGAGTTTCAACCCATCATTTACTGATAGAATGTCATTTATTCCTATTTATTTTATGTCTAAATTCCGAAGTCTTTAAACATATTTGTCTCTTGGTTGAGGTTTAATATTTTTGGAAATTTTATAAATATGTTAAATAGATATTCAACATGAAACCTTACCTGGAAGTATCTGTGAACTCAGATCAAAATATTCTCATGTTAGAGAGGATGGAAAACAAAAATAAAAAGTGAGGCCTAGCAAAACTGTATAGGATTGTTGTTGTTACGTGCCATCAAGTCAGTGCCAATTCACAGTGATCCTATGCACAATAAAACAAAACACTGTTTGGTCCTGCACCAACCTCATAATGATTACTACATTTCAGTCCATTGTTGCCGCCATTGTATCCATCCGTCTTGTTGGGGGTCTTCCTCTTTTTCTCAAGCCCTCCACCTTACCAACATGATATCCTTCTCCAGGGACTGGTCCCTCCTGATAATATGTCCAAAGTATGAGAGACGAAGTCTGACCATTCTGGCTTCCAAGGAGCATTCTAGATGTACTTCTTCCAACATAGATTGGTTTGTTCTTCTGGCAGTCCATGGTAGTTTCAATATACTCCTCTAACACCATTACTCAAATGCATCAAATTCTTCTATAATATATCTTTTTCACTGTCCAACTTTCACATGCATATAAGTTTGTTAAAAACACTGTGGCTTGGATCAGCCTCACCTTAGTCCATGAGTATTGATGCTTAATCATCCAAACAAAATGAAGTGTTTGACAACTTCAATCTTTTCTCTACTTATATGGATATCTTTTATTGGTCCAGTAGTAAGGATTTTTTTTTTTTCTTTACATTGAGGTGCAACCCATACCATAGGCTGTGGTCTTTGATCTTCATCAGTGAGTATTTTATGTCATCTTCACTTTTAGCAAACAAGGTTGTATTATCTGAATATCACAGGTTGTTAATAAATCTTCCTCCAATCCTGATGCCACATTTTTTTTTCATATAATCCAGCTTCTCAGATTATTTCCTCAGCATATAGATTGAATAAGTATGGTGCAAGAATACAACCCTGGCACACACCTTTCATAATTTTAAAGGATTTGGTGTTCCCTTGTTCTGTTTGAACAACTGCCTCGTGGCAGTTGAAACCTTAGCTGAAAGTATCTGTGAACTAAGATCAATACATTCTCGTGCTAGAGAAGATTAAAAAGAAAAAAAGTGAGGCCTAGCAAAACTATATAGGATAGTAAAGTGTCATTTAAAAGATATTTTAGTCCTAATTTCTCTGCAACTGTTTCTAAGACTCTGTTTGGAAAACGGTAGAAACATAAAAGTAAATGAAAAAAATTAAAAGAGAAATAGATATATACTCTAATCAATGATACATTTTATTTTATTATGTTGTTGTTGTTATGTGCCGTGGAGTCGGTTCCGACTCGTAGCGACCCTGCACAGGGTTTCCGAGACTGTAAATCTTTACGGGAGCAGAAAGCCTCATCTTTCTCCCGCGGAACAGCTGGTAGTTTTGAACTGCTGACCATGCGGCTCGCAGCCCGATTTGTAACCACTACGCTACCAGAGCTCCCTTATTTTATTATAATGTGTATGTGTTCTGATATACACAAAATTATAAGGAGCTTTAAAGGGGGCTTCAAAAAGTACATGACAAAGTAGAGTTAAAAGATGGTGGAGAATTTTCCATGAACTTTTTGAAACCCACTCAAGTATATATATTTATATATATATTCATATGACTAGCCTTCTAGTTATTGCACATTCTTGAATATATTCATATAAAACTTCCTAATGAAGATTACAGGAACTGCAGTGGCTCCATACCATAAGCACTGGACTACCAACCACAAGGTCCAAAGTTGGAGCCCACTGGCCGCTCTGAAGGAGAAAGATAAGGTTTTCTGCTCTGCAAAGATGTAAAAGCCTTGGAAACCTTATACAGGGTGGCTATGAGTCAGAACCTACTCAAAGGCACTTAACAACAACAGCAATGAAGATTAATGTTCTACTAAGTGAAACAAATATTAATGAGGTGCATGTAAGCACATAGGCATTACTAATTGCTAGTCTAAAAATTGATGTGTTATTTAAATATCAAAAAGAAAATTATGACATCCACAACAATTATCTTCTCTCAGATTTATGCATTTATCAGTCACAAAACATGTATTTCAGGAATATTGCCCATCTTACCCAAATGTATCAGTAAAAATTGGCATCAAAAAGAAAAGCAGTAAACAAAACTCCAAATATGGTATTATATCCAAATGCTTTCTTAAATACTCCTATCTGTCATTCATATTAAAGACATTAACAAGAGCCCTTGTGGGAAACTCTTTCTAAAACTGATCATGGTCTGCTATCAGTGAAGGCCATACCTATCTTTAAAAGGTGAAAATTGTCCCTAGGGAAAACTACACATTCCCATGAATTCTGCAACCACAAAGTCAGGTTAAATGTTACAAACAACAGTTCAGAGCTTCTTCTATGGAATCATTCAGGGCTCCTCAATCGTACCTGTTTAAATGCCTGTAAAACTTCTGCCCTCTGGCTGAAGTGCTTGAAGAGCAGCTGCAGGGCTCCTGACAGTAAAGGAGGGTAGTCGTGCATAATCAGATGGATGAGCACCCGCAAAAACGTCCTGCCACCTTCATCATCAAGTTGAACTGGATTTTTTTCCTTTCTATAAAGCCAAAAATAATGCGAAAGTAACTTAAATGTTTACAACTACACACACCTATTGTCAAAATTATATAGCCTTTTCTTGATTTAGAAATTTTTAAATGCAAACAGTTTTACTTTCCCCCTCCTCAATTAACAGGAGAGGAAATAAGCACACTCACACAAAACAAAACATGTACTTGTCCTTGAAAGTAAGAGAGACCAATTGTCTCAGTCTGCCCCAGGCTGAGCAGAGTCCCAGGATGTGGGACAATCAGTGCTTAAACTAGGAGAATCTTGGGCAAACTAGATGAGCTGGTCACCTAGAATTAGGGATCCAAATCAATCCAAAAGAATTATAGACCAATAGGGTCACACCCTATAAAGAGGCTTTGGGACGGCACTAAGCAACAAACAACAAGGGTCACCCCTGGTAAATAAGTTTCAGCAGAGCTTCCAAATGAAGACAGACTAGAAAGAAAGACCTCACAATCTATTTTCAGAAATCAGCCAAGGGAGACCTTACAAATCACAACAGAACACAGTCTAACTTGCTTGCTTTGGATGAATCATTGGGAAACACCAATTACTAGAAGGGGCTTCATATTTGGTGAAGTAGACAGCCAGCAAAGGCAAGGGAGATCCTCAGTAAGATGGACTGGCAAAACAGCCGTGACACAGACTCGAACATGCCC